TTGGTACCGGAGCTCAAACTCAGGACCTTGTGCTTGCGAGGCAGGCAGTGGAACCACTGAGCTAAAACCCCAGCCCCTAGAGTATATTTTTTGAATGTTAAAAATATCAGCCTATAATCACTTTAGTTTTATTTTTTATTTTTTATTTATTTTTTTGGTACTGGGGATCAAAGTCGGGTCCTTGTGCTTGCAAGGCAGGCGCTGGAACCACTGAGCTAAATCCCTGGCCCAAATCACTTTAGTTTTATAATTAGCATTTTGCTGTATTATATTGTCTTAAAACAAAATTTCATTTTCATAATTACAAATAAAAGACATTTTATTTGTTGCTCATGTGATTTTTCAATTTGCTATACTAATAAGTCTTGTGCATGGCAAGTTAGTGAAATGAGATCCAAGTTTTCTTCCCTCCTCTTTTAGGTGCTTGTTTTTAAGTATTGGATGATTGATATTTTTCAAGTTATATTTGTGAAAAGATACTAACTGTCTTATTTCCTGAAAGAGCTCAATGAAAAGAAAACAGATGAGGAAGAAGAGCTTGCTACAGAAAAAAAGAAAGCTCTGAACATTGTGCAAAGTGTTTTGAACATCAGCTTAAACAACACTACAAGCAAAGGACCAGTAGCTGCTAAGAAATTTAAGTATGGTTCATATTCTGTCCCATTCTGTCATATTTTTCATTGTCATAAATGCCATCTTTAAGTAAGTTTAAAACTAGGTCTTTTGTTTCATTCTCACGTTTTTTGCAGTGCTGGAGATTGAGCCCAGGGCTTTGCATAAATCCTAGGCAAGCACTGCATCACTGAGGTACACCCTTAGTTTTGCTGGATCATTTTTGACTTACTAGAGAGAGCATTTGGCAACATCTATCAGATTCTTTAAAATATTCTTACCTTTGACCCAGTGATTCACTTCAAGAAACTAATTAAATTATTTCTTTTTGAATCAAGATACATCATGTAAGGGTACAAGATCCTAATGGTGAATGTGACTGTATTGTATATCTAAAATGTACTGATAAACTAAATGGAAAAAAATTATTTCTTTATTTACATATATAGATGCCATTCCTTTATTTACATGCATAGATGTCTTAGCGTTACTTTCATTAATGAAATAACAGAAAACCACTTTAACTCTTAACCCCCAAAATTATTAAGCTATATAACTATTGTAGAAAATTTCAAGCTAGGCGTGGTGGTGCACGCCTGTAATACCAGCACTCAGGAGGCTGAGGCAGGAGGATCTCTGTGAGTTCAAGACCAGCCTAGGCTACATAGTGAGTTTCAGATCAGTCTCAGCTACATAATGAGATCCTGTCTCAAAAAAACCAAAAAAGAGGGCTGGGGATTTAGCTCAGCGGTTCGGTGGCCTGCCTTGCAAGCACAAGGACCTTAGTTCAATCCCCGGTACCAAAAAAGAAAAAGAAAAACCAAAAAAGAAAAAAGAAAATGAAAATTTCAAACATATAATTTGAGAAAATAGTGTAATAAAACCTCAGTGTGCAATCTTCTAAAATCACCAACACGTGACCACTTTTCTGTCTCTATACAACCCTAATCTAACCCAATGGAATATTTTATGCAAATTCTAGATATATTTTATTTTATCTGTATATATTTTTAGTGTACTTAGATTTTATTTATTTTAATTTTTTATTGCTGGGGATTGAACTCAGGACCTTGCACTCAGGAGACAGGTAGTGGCACCACTGAGCTAACTCCCTGGCCCCCTTAGAATAATTTTTAGGGTTAACAAAAGATTCAGGGAAACTCAAAAACTGATACTTTAAAATATTATTTCTATGCATCTGCCTTGCAAATGTAAGGTCCTGAGTTTGATCCCCAGTACCCGAAAAGAAAAAACAAAACAGAACACACAGAGTAATAAAATATTATTTTAACAATATCATAATGTTCTTCTTTGTTATCATTTAGGTTCATTTTCCCCAAAGAATTTGCTATTAAGTTTTGCGCCATGGTTTTGATTTATCTCTTCCAACTTTTCTTTTTTTTTTCACATAGGGATGTCATACGTTATGATCCAACAAGGCAAGACCACATGACTTATGAAAGAACGAAAGATGATAAACCAAAAGAAAGGTAAATCAAGCTTTTTTTACCTTACAGTTCTGCTAAGCTTCTGAGCAACAGTGACTTTTAAGTCCCGTAGAAGAACTTTTGTTTGAATCGCTGAAGTTTATTAGCTCTGTCTACATTCATAACAAAAAGGTTTTGTTTCATTTTTAAACCAAGGTGCATAGAATTTTTTCCCATAATGGGCCAGATAGGCAATATGAGACTTTGTATGCCTTGACAACCTCTGTTATGATGACTCCCCTATACCTTTGTAGTAGAAAAGCAGGATATTGGAAAATGTGTTCTAATAGATGTATTAATGCTGGAATTTGCGATTTATATAATTGTTACATATCATGAAGTCATCTTTATTTGCCCCAAATCATTTCAAAGTACTAAAAAATATTTGATGTACAGTCAAGACATACAGGCAGCATCATGGACTTGGCTCATACTTTGCGAGCTCTTGCTTTAGATCATGTTTTCCTGAGAGTTTCATGGAGTTGATCTTTGCTTTAAAGTTATTTCTTAATTCATTTGCTTTCCGGAGATTAGGAACCTTCAAAACCATGAGGTTTTGGTTCTGGCTGCTCTAAAAGAATTGTTTTTCCCTCTCTAATCATACTTTCTTCCTTTTCTCATTTTACTGTAAACAGCAAGAAGCAGACAAATATCTCCTACATTTTCTTGGATATCTTAGGTAGACTAACCAGATAATTAGCTCCATTAACAGAGGTACCAGTGTTGGTGATCTTTCTGCCACCACATGACACGGATTCTCTATCTTCCAATTTCCAGTCATACGAAACTGCAAGCCTTTACCTATAATCTCTTCAAAGGCCATAAAGTTTTTATTAACAGTTTTTTCAAAACCTGTTAAGTTTTTGGTCTGACCATAGTCTCAGAGTCACAGGCTATCACATCTGCCTTATCTCTTCATTAAAATAGTTTACTACATCCTCCCCAGGTTCAAGAGACGAAGAAGTTAACTTGCACCTCTTTTAAAAGAAGTTGTGAAGAAGTTTCTGAACCAGTCTTAAAACTGTTATATGGTGGTGCAATGATAATTATCTGGAACTGTCTGGATGGACACTAATTTTTTTTTTTTTTTTTTTTTTGGTACTGGGGACCGAACTTGTGTCCTTCTGCTTGCAAGGCAGGCAATGGCTCCACTGAGCTAAATCCCCAGCCCTGGAAGGACACTATTTTTAATCCAGCTGAGATTCATGAGAGGCACATCTGTCTTAAAACCTAGCCAATTTGGTTTATTTTATAAAATATGAAAGTTTTTCTCTGAGGGTCTCTAGGTTATTTAGGACATCCTGTTTACTTACATCGGAGATAATTCATTATGAACTTCTGGTCGGTCATATGGGAGGGACACCAAGACAAAGGATTTTAGTGTGTGTGTACACACTAAAATGTGTTATTGGGGATTGAACCTCAGGAACACTACCACTGAGCTATATTCCCCCCCTTTTTCTTTCTTTCCTTTTTTTTTGTTTTTTGTTTTTTGTTTGTTGTTGTTGTCAGAGTTGTTTTGAGACAGGATCTCACTAAACTGTGGAGAGTGACTGCAAACTTGGCAATCTTCCTTCCTTACCCTTCCAAAGAGCTGAGAAAAATTTTGATCTTTCATTAGCTAAAATCTCAATAATGGATTTGGCCATGCAACTTTTTGTCTGAGATCAAAAAGAAAAGTATAGCTGGGAGTGGTAGCACACACCTGTAATCCCAGCACTTGGGAGGCTGAGGCAGGAGGATCGCTGTGAGTTCGAGACCAGCCTGAGCTACATAGTGAGTTCCAGGTCCGTCTCAACTACATAGTGAGACCCAGTCTCAAAAAAAAAAGAAAGAAAAGTATATCCATTCCCTAAATATAGAGAATTCTAACAACATGAAAATTTATTTCCAAAAGAAACTAGGCTTAGCATATTTATAATTCATTTCCCATAACTTGTAAAATTCACTTTTAGAACTTGAAACGATCTTAGAGGTCATGTTCATTTTGCAGATAAGGAAGCTTCAGGTGCCCTGAAGCTAAGTGATTTCCTTACAGCTAATGATTTCAGTTTAATTTCTTTTTTTTGTTTGTTTGTTTTTTGAGACAGGGTCTCATTGTGTAGTCCAGGCTGGCCTTGAATTTACAGTAATTCTCCTGTCCAAATGCTGGGGTTACAGGGTGCACGACCACACTTGGCTCAGTGTAATTTCTGGAATGTAGTTCAAAAGATACGAGATTTAGTTCAGTGGTTCCTCCCCCTGCCTTGCAAGAACAAGGTCCCAAGTTTGATCCCCAGCACCAAAAATAAATAAATAAATAAATGCTGGACAAAAATGTTTCACATTTAATATTTGTATCTGTTTGCAATAGTTTTATATATATATATATATATATATATATATATATATATATACACACACATAATTTTTTTTTTTAAATAAAGCTTATGGTCAGGATTCTGTGCTAATCATGTTAGCTTTTTTTTGAACTGCCTGGAACTATGTAGCTCAGGCTGGTCTCAAACTCACAGTGATCCTCCTGCCTCAGCCTCTGGGAGTGCTGGGATTACAGGCCTGTGCCACCATTCCCGGCTCATCTTAGTTGTTAAAAGGGTGGAATTAAAGTGATCCAAGGAGTTTACCTTTTCTGAATTTTAGGAATTTCCAAAATTTCTTTCTGTTTGATGTGCCTGTCTATATATATGTCATTCCAGTAAAGCAAAACGGAAGAAGAAAAGGGAGGAAGCTGAGAAGCCACCTGAAGTGTCTAAAGATATGTATTACAACATTGCTGCGGACTTGAAAGAAATATTCCAGGCTACAAAAGACACCTGTGAGAAGGGAGAAGAAACACCCTGGCCCGACGAGGGTGTTAGAGAGAATGAAGAGGTCCGCAGTGCAGCAGCAGAGCAGCCCAGCGGGTTTATGTTCTCTTTTTTCGATTCAGATTCTAAAAATGTTAAAAAAGGTACTTTTCTCTTTTCTTCCCCCACTCACTTTTTAATTTCAAGCAGCCTGTATTTAACCGATGGAGTCTCCACTAAGTGTCATGGATTTACCACTGTCTGAATAAAGGATTCTTTCTTTGACTTAGATGAACAGTACAAGATTCAGTGCTACATGATCGTAAATGTCACATTCCTAAAGCTGTGAAAACTTGTTTTGCTTTTAAGGAAGTGAACTTCTGGCTAGCTCCATATAAAGAAAAGCCAAAGAATAATTTACTGTATCCCTTCTTCTTACATAAAAACCATCATGAAGAAGTACAATAAATCATTTGAATTGCTCCATTTCTTAAATGCATTTGGAGATGCCATGAAAAGTTTACAGAAAACGAGAGCTGTAAATGATAGGAAGGAGTAGATAACCTTGGTTTTATATGAATATGTTATATCATCATTATGCTGGTTATTTCAAACTTCCCTAGACATTTGCCAGAACCTAGAGAAAAGTGTATAGAACACCACCTACAATTTTGTATACTACTTCAAGAAATTTACCTCTTAAGGCCATCCCAGGCCACATCTGAAAATACCTGCTCTTTAGAAGGCTGCTCTGTACCTAGTGTTCAAGATACACGTGTGGCTTTCTGGAAGTGCATTATAAAAATCAGGATAGGCTTGGTATTGTGGCACATACCTGTAATCACAAGCTTTTTTTTGAACTGCCTGGAACTATGTAGCTCAGGCTGGTCTCAAACTCACAGTGATCCTCCTGCCTCAGCCTCTGGGAGTGCTGGGATTACAGGCCTGTGCCACCATTCCCGGCTCATCTTAGTTGTTAAAAGGGTGGAATTAAAGTGATCCAAGGAGTTTACCTTTTCTGAATTTTAGGAATTTCCAAAATTTCTTTCTGTTTGATGTGCCTGTCTATATATATGTCATTCCAGTAAAGCAAAACGGAAGAAGAAAAGGGAGGAAGCTGAGAAGCCACCTGAAGTGTCTAAAGATATGTATTACAACATTGCTGCGGACTTGAAAGAAATATTCCAGGCTACAAAAGACACCTGTGAGAAGGGAGAAGAAACACCCTGGCCCGACGAGGGTGTTAGAGAGAATGAAGAGGTCCGCAGTGCAGCAGCAGAGCAGCCCAGCGGGTTTATGTTCTCTTTTTTCGATTCAGATTCTAAAAATGTTAAAAAAGGTACTTTTCTCTTTTCTTCCCCCACTCACTTTTTAATTTCAAGCAGCCTGTATTTAACCGATGGAGTCTCCACTAAGTGTCATGGATTTACCACTGTCTGAATAAAGGATTCTTTCTTTGACTTAGATGAACAGTACAAGATTCAGTGCTACATGATCGTAAATGTCACATTCCTAAAGCTGTGAAAACTTGTTTTGCTTTTAAGGAAGTGAACTTCTGGCTAGCTCCATATAAAGAAAAGCCAAAGAATAATTTACTGTATCCCTTCTTCTTACATAAAAACCATCATGAAGAAGTACAATAAATCATTTGAATTGCTCCATTTCTTAAATGCATTTGGAGATGCCATGAAAAGTTTACAGAAAACGAGAGCTGTAAATGATAGGAAGGAGTAGATAACCTTGGTTTTATATGAATATGTTATATCATCATTATGCTGGTTATTTCAAACTTCCCTAGACATTTGCCAGAACCTAGAGAAAAGTGTATAGAACACCACCTACAATTTTGTATACTACTTCAAGAAATTTACCTCTTAAGGCCATCCCAGGCCACATCTGAAAATACCTGCTCTTTAGAAGGCTGCTCTGTACCTAGTGTTCAAGATACACGTGTGGCTTTCTGGAAGTGCATTATAAAAATCAGGATAGGCTTGGTATTGTGGCACATACCTGTAATCACAGGGTGAGGGAAGCTGAGGCAGGAGGATTGCAAATTGGAGCCCAGCCTGTGCAACTTAGACTCTGTCCCTAAATTTAGGGGACAGCCTTAAAAAAAAAAAAAAAAAAGGTGGGAATGACCAGTACCACTAAAAACAAAAGAAAAACAAAACAAAACAGTGTAGACCTGTCCAGCAGAATCCATGCACGAGTACACTCATTCTATTTGAAAGATTAACCCTTTAAATATTATGTATGGGGTGCTGGGCGTGGTGGCGCATCCCTGTAATCCCAGCACTCAGGAGGCTGAGACAGCAGGATCACTGTGAGTTCGAGACCAGCCTGGGCTACATAGTGAGTTTCAGGTCAGTCTCAATTACATAATGAGACCCTGTCTCAAAAAAACAAAATAAAACAAAACAAACAAACAACAAACAAAATATATATATGATATATATATATCATGCATGGGGCTGGGGATTTAGCTCACTGTTCCACTGCCTGCCTCACAAGCACAAGGTCCTTAGCTGGATCTCTGGTATAAAAAAGTAATTATGCAGATACATATCAAACGTCTGCTCTGTGATATTCCAAAGAAAGTACAGCAATGTGGTAGTGTTTTCAAAATTGTAAATATGACACAGTGTATCATATGCTCTGCTTATTTTATGTTCTTGGCTATGTTGTCCATCTGAGTCCCGGAGTCAGACCTAAACTATTAAATGTAGCTGATGGACATAGAGAGCCAAGTGTAAGAAACTGTCCTTAAAATGATTCCTAGTCACCACAACCCAGATTTTTTAAATATCTGAAAAATTTTGAGTACTTGTGAGATTAACTTTTCAGATCTTGTAGCAGTAGCTTTTTCAGTGGTTTTAGAAAGAGGATGTTGGGAATTGGAAATGTAAAGATTTTTTTTTTTTTTGTAATTTATAGATAAGTGGGGTGGAAATCTGGTTTTACTAAATCATGTTGTATTATATTTAGGCTTCCACTTCACAGATGCTATGGTTATTTTGTTCTCTTTTTAAAAATTATATTTCTCATTTATAAATCTTTAGTTCTTATGCCTATTTATAATGCTATTATTTCCCTATTTGATCACATTTAGCAATGCCAAAATTAAGATAGTAACTTGTTTCCATATTTGAAAATTAAAGAAGATGACACTTATTTTAGGAGATGGGGCTGTAGCTCAGTGCGAGAGTGTTTGCTTAGGATGCACAAGGCTCTAGGTTTGATCTCCAGCCCTGCAGAAGAAAAAGGAAGAAAGAATAAGATACTGCCTTTTTATTTATTTATTTATTTTTTGTAACAGGAATCAGACCTCAGGATGTTGTGCTTATGAGGCAGGTGGTGGCACCGCCAAGCTAAATCCCCAGCCCAGATACTACCTATTTTTAAATAATGATTGATGTATTGGAAATTCCAATATATGTACATGGTGAAAGTAGTCAGTTGAATATGTTTAGAAATACTTGGTTGCTCAGTTATAATTCCATTTTTTTTATTGTCAAAATGATATAGAAACCTATAAAGTTGAAACAGTGAAACCTGGGAAGATTGTCTGGCAAGAAGATCCTCGTTTCCAAGACAGCAGTTCAGAAGAGGAAGATGTTACTGAAGGAACAGATCACATAAAGCCGAGCCCTGAGTAAGGGTTTTATTTGTATGTGGGTTTATTTCAAAATTTTTAAAAATCTGAGGTAGGCATAGTTTACAAGTATTGTGGAAATTACTTAGGCTAATATTCATGAGAACTTAATTTTCTTGGCCCCTTTAGAGGATTCTTTAGCCTTTTTATAATGGGGAGGGTGTTATCATTTCCTTGAGATTGGGATAACATTGGGTGGGGGGTAAGATGTGCTTGGGGAGTGAGCCTAATAGTCTCAAAACAGATGCTGCAGTCGGCTGGATGCCTCCTTATGCAAAACACTGGCAGACAGGGCAGCAATGGTAGAAGTGAGAATATTACCATCCAGAGCTGGGAAGATATAATTTGTACCTAAACAAATCATTAGGTTGATAGAATGTTGAAAGTACAAAGCAGTTAATTTTCAGGACTAGTTTATATTTTCAATGTAAATATTTCTCCTTAAATATTAAAAGTTAACAAATATCTGTCTTTTTCTCCCTTCTTCCCCTTGCAGAGAAGCATCATTTCCTGAAAAAGAGACCACTAGATTTTTCTTTTTCTCTAAGAATGATGAAAGACTTCATGGTAAGCCTTTTTTTCTATTGAATGGTATAAAACAGATAATAGCACAACTCTTTTTTGGTACCGGGGATAGAACTCAGGACCCTGTGCTGAGCTAAATCCCTGGCCCTAAAGTAAGTCTAATTTATTTATTTATTTTTTGGTACTGGGGATTGAACTCAGGCCCTTGCACTTGGAAGGCAGGTGGTGGGAACATTGAGCCAAATCCCTGGCCCATAGCACAGCTCTTATGCACACTCAAGTACAATGACTCACATTTAGGAATTCTGACCCTGTACAATGTCATGTGTTGACTTGTAATACTCTTCTGGGACTGGGAGCTCCTCACTCAATATGTTCCTTGCCCACTGATTATCATGCACAAGGACTTGCTTAGATACTAGACGTAATGCCCCGAAAATCCACATGAAAACTTTCAGGCTGATGGTGAACTCACTTTACTTTTTCATTACTGTTCTCTGTTTTGTGGTCCTGGGAATTGAACTGGTGAGTACTCTACCACTGAGCTTTATCCTCACCCCTTTTCATTTTGAGACAGAGTCCCAGTAGGTCACTACACTTGCCAAGGCTGAGCTTTGTAATACCTCTGCCTTAGCATCCTAAAGTCCTGGAATTACAGGCATGTGTCACCATGCCCAGGTTTTATTTTTTGAGACAGGCTCTCCCTAAGTTGCCAGGCTGTCCTCACACTTGTAATTCTCTTGCTTCAGTCATGGGCTACCATCTTTTTTGGGTGGGAGGATCACTGTAAATCAGGCTGTCCTTGAACTCACCATGTAGCTCAGGCTGACCTCAAACTGGTGGCATTCTTCTGCCTCGGCCTCCCAAGTGCTAGGATTATGGTTGTGGGCCACCATGCACAGCTTTTGTTTCTTTTTCCTTCTTAAAGCATAGAACAAGGAAAACAAGGTTATATAACAGTAAATGATACATAAACAGTGGAATTTTAGCCATTTGTTTTTCATTGTATAAGAAAAAAAATTTATTTTTGAAAAGTTTCTATAAATTGAAATAAATGATCTTAACTGGAATTGGAGGCCTTATAATACCAACCTTAGGATGTTATCCATTTTGATAGTGATGTGCTGCCTTCTATGCCTTATATTTCCCTTATAGGTTCTGACTTTTTCTGGAGTGGTGTGGGAAGTAATATTAGCAAGAATTCTTGGGAAGCACGAACAAACAGCTTGCTTATGGTAAGTATTGTTCCTGCATATTCATTAATGAAAAAAATAAAACCTTACCAAAATTAGATAAGGTTTTATCTTTTTACTGTTTCCTTGGTGTAAAAGTAACCAGAATGTGATTTAAAAATTTAGAAAAGGGCTGGGGATTTAACTCAGCAACGCCACACCTGCCTCACAAGTGCAAGGTCCTGAGATCAATCCCTGGTAGCAGGAAAAAACACTCAGCCCACAGGTGGTGCTGGTGAGAATACTGAAGACTGTTTTATTTGAGTAATTGGTTCTAGACTCCAGCCAGGCTCATTAAGTTACAGGAAATAAGGAGAATTTTAAAGACTAAATTATAATACCATAATCACGTAAGCCAAAAGTTTGAATATTCCCTGTGAGTGTTCATACCACTGACCACTTCTGAAATGTGTTTCCATAGCTCTGACAATGATAGTAGCCTAAATCTTACCTTATAATTATTGAAAATCATTTGTATATATTGTTAACAAAGCATTTTGATTTTACAGGATTGTCGGAAGAAACATAAAGAAGCAAAAAGGAAAGTCAAACCAAAATAATATCAGCATTGATTTTGAAAGTGAATGTGAACAAGGCTCACCAGGCAATTGACCTAAAAATGATTTCAGCCAACAAAGAGGATATTACAGAGCAGAGAACATTCAAAATCTGGCTTGTGGAATACCATTCTGGTTCGCATCTTCTGTGGAATTCCTTTGTTTTTTGGTTTTTGGGTTTTTTTGGTATCAGGGATCAAACTCAGGGCCTTGCACTTGTGAGGCAGGCATGGTGCCACTGAGCTAAATCCCCGGCCCTACTTTGTATTTTATCCTAGGTAATTAATTCAAAACATTAAGCTGAGCCCGGAACAGTGATACACATCTGTAGTCTTAGCATTCCAGAGGCTGACATGGACAGATCATTGGATCCCAGGAGTCTGAGACCAGTCTGGGCAATACATTGAGACCCTAGATCAAGAAAGAAAAAAGTTACACTGAACTTTTTAAAAATTAAGCACAAAATAGCCCCAAAAGTATTTCTTGCATATAATCCCTCTGTCCCCCATCTTTAGTAACTATTGGGCATTTTCTGATGCAAGTTTTAACAAAGCCTTTTTCTATAAATAGTGCAATGCACTTGTTTTTTCCAAATTAGGCTTTGTGTGAATTAGACTTTTTGGAATATTTATTTATGATTTTACCAAATATACCTTCTATGTTACCCTTTTTTTTAAAAAAAGGATGAATTATAAAGCAGCTTTGAGTTCAGTACTTGTGTCTTGATGAAGAGCAACTGAAATGCTGGCTATTTCAGACCAGCAACATGTAAGAGTTCAAGGACCAGGAAAGGAAGCCAAACACAATTTTCTTGTTGATGGCCCCCGGGATTTAGGAAGCAACATACAGAACCTGGTCATCAATCCTGAAATTCTACTTAGATGAGAAGTTTATGAAAATTACCAAGTTTGTGAAAAATATGTGATCAACAGGAATCAGACCCCATTTCAAGATAGGAAAACAGATTTAATGTTTCACTAAATATACACATCTAATAATTAGGACAGGTGTGTCTCCTATCAAAATCAGCTCTGTATCAAATACATGTGACACAGGTTGTCCCAAGGAATTATCATCAAGCCAGAAGGTATGTATCTGAAATTATCAGATATATATACGATGAAAGTATATGTTGATTTACATCTTGCTTGACTACAACTGTATAAGGGTCACATCTCATCTGACTTATTAACTATTATATCCCCATTGCCTGGATCTGTGTCTGGTACATAATAGATGCTCAATATATACTGTATATTTTTTAGTAAATAGGGCACAAGGAGCTAGGTAGTTTGAAGAATCATTCTTACTTTCTGTGTTTCCATTACTTCAAACGTCAAAGGATGGGAACAACCAGTCAGCAGGATAAACACTTCAGTAACTTCAGTACTTTCTACCTTCTCTTGATATAAGTTACCTTTATACTTATCTGTTGCTTCATAGCATATTGTGCCAGCGACATTTTTATTTTACTCACAAATACATGATTTGGTCAGACTCCCCCCGAGGACTCTTCATCTATGCTCCATGTGCTATCACTGGGATGGTTCAGCTTCAGAGAAGGTCAGCTTCTCAGATGCTTTGTACCCCGACCCCTATCCCCTCCCCTTACCTCTCCTTGGGCTTCCTTAAAGCATGGCAACTAGGATCCAAGAGCAAGTGTTTCCTAGAGAAGAATCAGCTCCTGCCAGTGTCCCAAAGCCTGAGCCCATGGACTGGCTCACTCATTTCACTGTTTTACAGGTTAAGATACATACACATACCCTGTTTCTTAGTGGGAAGAGTATCAAGAGTTTTGGGTTCACATTTAAGTTTGCCACATGCTCCATCTCCAAAGCAGACAAATAGGCATCAAGTGGCCTTGCCCATCCCCCAATTCCTACTTCCCAGGTTAAACCACCTTCAGCAGTTTTTAATGTTTTTTCTGATAGTCATTTCCATTTTTTATGCCTGTCCTGCTTATTCTAATGCTGCTTGACTTTTCAGTTCCAGACACTACCTATTGACTTCTGACTAAAAAATGATTCACCTCTTTATTTTGACCATAGCTCTTCCTGGAATTACTTGTTCTAATTTGACTTTTTCTAGACATAGTCTTCACCTGTCTTCCAACAATACTTAAAAAATGTTTCTCGCTGGGGATTTAGCTCAGTGGCAGCATTTTGCCTCACAAGTGCAAGGTCCTGAGTTCAATTCCCAGTACCAAAATAAAAAAGTCAATACAGTTTTTTGTTTGGTTTGGTACCAGGGATCAGACTCAGGACCTTATGGCTTGCTAGGCAGGCAGGGAACCACTGAGCTAAATCCCCAGCCGTCAAATCTAGTTTTCAGTCATACCAAGAAGTTACCTCATCCATAGCTTTTTTTCCTTGTACACACCTGTCTAGGAATCCTGTTCTGTCATTTGAACAAGGTGGCAGCTAAGTGACATGCAAAAATGGGAAACACATTGCAAATACTTCCAGTTAATAAACTTAAGGTTTATATCTATATGTCCCCCTAAAGTCTCATGCTCATAGATGGGGAATTGAGAGGTGATTGGATAATGGATATAAAGTACTGGATTAGTCCACTGATTGGGTTAGCATAGTTCTGAATGTGGATGATGGAATTACTAAAGAGGGAAGACCGCCCGTATTATGGCTGGCACCAAACAATAGAATTGTAGCCTGGAAGGAATAAAAGGAAGTGTTGCAGCTTACTGCCTGTCTTGCCATAGACTATGAGCCACGTGACTATGGACTGACCCCTCTACCGAAAATTAGCTAAAATACACCTTTTCTCCTTTAACTAGTGAGTGTCGGGTATTTTGTCCCAGCAACGAGAAAGTAACTAAGACATAAACTAAAGAGCACACACCAACTACTCCAGAGGCTGAAGTGGGCGACTCGCTTAGGCCTATGAATTCCGTATCAACCTCAGCAGCTTAGCAAGCCCCCCACCAGCACACGCGCGAGCGCGCGCGCGCACACACGCACACACAACACAATTACTGAACACGTATGTGTTCCATTGAATGGAACCGCTTAGAAGACATGAAACTACTTGACATTCAGTTGGGCCTATATTTTAGTAACTCTAAGAAATGCTAAAATGACTATCAAAATGTTTTTAAACTTAGGAAGTGCTTTCTACCTACTCTAGACCAGATCACTTTTTCCTGTGTCTCTAACGGATAAAATAGGCAATTACCTACAGAACTACTCTCAAACGGTTAAGGCCAAGTTTCCTTAATAGACTTTGGCATCAAGCTCCAGTTCCCTTTTGTTTTTAAGCAGCATATCTGCAAGGCAATGAGCTAATGCATAGCAATGATGATAAAGAATGATTCGTTTGCATTACAGAAAGCAAAGTACAATAAAAACTTTAAAACTGCTAGGCTGCACATGCCCCACCGTAAAAATACAGAAACCTTTGCTCCTAAGTTTCAACGATGAAGAGTATTAATTTTAGATGTGATTTATATGGGAAACACACAGGTTTTAAACACCCGACCGGAGGCATGCTAACACGCAAAATAAGATGAAGAGACCTGCGTCCCAGCCCCCCAGAAGCTCCGGGCCTCGGGAACCAAGGGCTCTTAGCCTGGGAACGTTCTGCTAAGTCCCACCTGGGCACCGTTTTCCCAGTGTGCACCACAGTTCGGAACGCGGTCAGTGGGTGTGGCCGGGGAACCAGGAAACCAATCGCCATCCAGATTGTTTGTGGGTGTTAGACACTGCATTCTGGTTGGCTGGCGCGGAGGCGGCCCATTTCTCTGCGCCGGGTGCTGTCTGGTCATTGCATCAGTTCGGGTCGCCAGGCGGCAGCGCTGACTCCTACCCTGTCTCGGGCTTGCGCGACCTCTGGGTCTCCAGGTAAACCGAGCCCCTAACTGCATGCCTCTCCCGTGCTCCTGGGCCGCTCCTGTATCCTGGCTCCTTCCTTCAGAGGCGAGGGTCTTACACACACGTGACGACCCCCGCACAATAGGACATGGTTTTAGAAGGAAAAGAGATTGTGTGCCTTCTTGAGTTAATTGCGTGCGTATCTCCTTCCAAAGAGGAAGAGTGGAGGCCTAAAGGGGCGCTGCAGAACTCAGAACAGGCAGGAAACCCGGCCTGTCTCCTTGAGCCTGGTCTTCCATCCAGGAAAATTTCTCAGCTGCACGCTGGAGCCACGGTGACTCTGGAAAGCGGTAGTTGTGAGAATTCAGGGTGATAGAGCATCTTGGGGAAGTTCAGAAGGTGGGCGAGGTTACGGGCAAATGTAGAAATTTATAAGACATCGAGGCATTGTTCCGAGTCCCAGGCTCCCCCTACCTTTCCGTAGTTCCCGTGAACGTGCATTTACTGCCAGGGACCTAGGACCAAGGTGGGGTTTGCGCGGTGACCCTGTCCTAGACTCACACTGATAATGTAATGGCCAAGTGCAGGCCTCGCTGGGCGGAGCATAGAGGGGAAAGACAGTGTTTTCAGTGGGATCTGGAAGTTGGAGGAGAAGCCTTGTCAGGAGCTGTCGTTGGGCTTAATCCTTAAAGATGGGCAGGAGACCATACCTAAAACACTGCGGTTTTTTTAAAGTACCCCTCATGTTAGTACTGTTATCTCCAGCTTAGCATGTGTGTGAGGAATAAGTGGGAAGTGATGTTTAGCTTATATTGTTGCCTTTTTAAGTGAGGCAGTGAATGGCGCACACCTGTAATCCTAGCCCTCAGGAGGCTGAGGCAGGAGGATCGCTGTGAGTTTGAGACCAGCCTGGGCTACATAGTGAGTTCCAGGTCTGTCTCGACTGCATAGTGAGACCCTATCTCAAAAAACCAAAAAAAAAAAAAAAAAAAGGCAGTGAAATAAAAATCTTTTGAAAGTTAAGGCATACATCTGTCATCTGTTTATCCAAGACGTGTTCTAACATGCAGGTCCAGGTTATGGCTGAAGAGTCCGCATCTCTGTTAAGCTCCTATAGATTGTCAAGGACCATCATGGGAGTAATTAGAAGAAATGAATATATTGATATCTAAAGGCTTTTAGTCTTCTGACACAGTGTTTAGCTGCTAAACTAAGTAGTCCCCTAATAAATCAATAATTCAGAAATTAACATTTATTTCTGTCCTCAAATGGCTAGATATTGTAATAAAAGCTGAAGGTCTAAGTGGCCTCACAACTTCCATTTAATATTTGGTACTGTAATCTTATTGGAAATTGCTGTTTGTTAAATGTTCCACCTTGTCATATTTTTCCTATATAAAATTCAGAGACATTAATATCTGAAAGCTTAGAATGGAAGAAAAGGAAAGATGCTGTGGTACTTCTCCCATACTGTATGGCCTAATCATTTGCTCTGCTTAAGACTGTGATGTTTTTGAAGCTTTCAGAATAGGCTGAGTTTTATAGGGGTTTTTTTTCTTCTAGAGTCAGTTACTCCAGACCATTGTGATTCTGGTGTACTTAAGATTTTTCATCTTTTGTTCTCAAATTATTGTAGCAGTCCTGTTTTCCCTTCTAATCTAACATTGACTTTGAAAATCTGGTTACCAAATTTATTAGATTTTAATTAAATAAATAAACTGAGGACAAAGGGGATCTAGGATGTTTGATAGTTAAGTGTCAGATTGATGAAGTGTCTCTGAGTACACCTGTAATCACAACACTCGGGAAGCTGAGGCCGGTGGGTCACCACGAGTTTGAGGCCAGCCTGGGCTACATAGTGAGTTCAAGGCCAGCCTGAACTACACAGTGAGACCCTGTCTCAAAACCAAACCCCCCCCCAAAAAAAGTGTCTCTGTGTGAGGTTATTAGCAAAACGTTTTACTATGGTATCTCACATGAGCCGGGGATTTAGCTCAGTGGTGCTGCCTGCCTTGCAAGCACAAGGTCCTGAGTTAGATCCCCTGCACCAAAAGAAAAAAGTCTTCCTAAGATGATGTCTCACACTTGAGACAAGTCAGAGAGGTATAGGGTTTGTCCATTCCAAAAAACATGAATAAATAATAAAAAGGGTAAAATGGAAAGTTGGCAAAATATTTGAATGAGATTCTCATCTTTGCTTTTTGTGGGTGGAAGGGTAGTGGGGATTGAACTCAGGGCCTTTATCCTGAGCTATATATATAATATCCTCAAACGCCCTTTATTTTAGAGACAGTCTCGCTAAGTTCTCCATATTGGATTTAAACTTGCAGTCCTCCTACCTCAGCCACCCAGAGTGCTGGAATTACAGGCTCCCAGCTAGCTTTAATTTTTTTTTTTTAATTTGTTGTCCTTAGAGAAGGTGAGGTTGTTTCAAAAGAAGTGTTTTCTGAATGGGTATCATCAAAAATAAAAAATAATAAATGCTGATTAGGTTGAGGGGAAAAGGGGACCCTTCTACATTGTTGGTGGGTATGTAAACTAGTACAACCATCATGGAAATCATTGTGGAGTTTTTTCAAAAACTAAAAAATATAAATTTTATTGAACCCAGCTATTCCCCTTCTATACCTTATCCCAAAAGAGTTAAAATATCACATTACAGTGGTACATGCATACCCATGTTTATTTGGTACAGTTCATAATAGGTAAATCTTGGAAGTGACCTATATGTCTATCAACAAATGAATATATAAAGAAAATGTAATTACACGCAGTGGAGTACTACTGTGTCATAAAATATGATAGATTTAAGTCATTTGTAGGAGAATGGTCATACCATGAGACCATAATGTTAAGTGAAGTAAATCAAACACACAGGCTTAAACTCTGGTTTGGAACTTATATGAGAAACTCATAGTGTAAATTGAAGAGCAAAATAAAAGATTATAGGAAACGGGAGGTAGGTTTTTGCAAATGAGAAAGGGACCAGGAGATGGAGGAAGGAGGAGAAAGGGACATTAAAAGGATTGAGATGTGTTATGTTCATGCATCAGCTCCCCCAATGAATGTAATCATTATTGCTGCAAACATGTACTAATAAAAATTATAGAAAGTACTTTCTGTCATGTGAATATTGATAAGAAAATCCCTAGCTATTTTGAGATTTTTCTTTCCAGTTATTAATGAGCTTTTAGCACCAAGAGATAGAATTTACAAGATTTTTCTTTTCCTTTTGAAACATGTTTGCAATCATTGAACAGTATATTGTAGTTGAAAATTATAATAATATTAGGACACAGTTTTGTAATACTTTAAAAGGTACCATATACCCCTACATCACACCATGTACAAAAGTAACTTAGAATGATGATCAGTTTAATGTTAAACTAAAGCCAGGCATTCTTGGTACATTTCTGTAATCCCAGCACTCTGTGAGGCTGAGGCGTGACTGCAAATTCAAGCCAAGCCTGGGCAACTAAGTGATGTCCTGTCTCAAATTTTAAAAAGGATGGGGTATAACTGAATGCTCTGGGTTCAGTCCCCAGTACATCACTCCCCCCAAAGTGGTAATAATAGTAATAATTTTTTAACTAAAAACTTGCAGTGTTAGTTGAAAGTGATGCTGCATGCCTGGGAACCCAGCATTTGTGAGGCTGGGGTGAGAGAATCCCATGTTTGAGGCCAGTCTGGGAAACTTTGGGAGACCCTGTCTCAGAAAACGAAAGACTGGGCCAGGGATTTAGCTCAGTGGCCCTGTACCTGCCTTGCAAGTGCAAGGTCCCAAGTCCGATCACTGGTACAAAAAAAAAAGAAGAAGAAGACTTGAGGATGGAGCTCAGTGGTGGCTCCATCCTCAGTACTGAAAAATAGGAAAATTCTTAATCATGAAAAGACAAACCACTTAAAAAAATGAGCAAAGGCTGGATAAACATTTATCTCAAGAAGACACACAGTTGGCCAATAAGTACATGGAACAGGCTCAACATCCTTAGTCATTAGGGAGATGCAAATCAAAACCATGATTAGAGACTCCATTATGCCCTCTAAAAAGGCCATAATCCAAAGGTGGACAGAAAGAAGTATTAAGGATGACGGAGAAATTGGTGTCCTTATTTACTGCTGGGGTGTAAAATGATGTGCTCACTATGGTTTCTCATTTTCTGGTTTGCAGTGCTGGCAAATCAGACTCAGGCCTCATTCATGCGAGGCATGTGCTCTACCACTGAGCTGTATCCTCAGCATGGTGAGGTTATTTTAGAAAACATTTTGGCAGTTTCTCAGAAAGTTAAATATAAAATTAATATATGACCCAAAAATATTACACTTAGTCATTTATATACCCAGGAGAAATGAAAACATATCCACATGACAATATATACTTGAATATTTATAACATTATTCACAGTAGCAAAAAGTCAAAACAATCCAGCATCCTTGAACTAATAAAACCTGGCATATCCATACAATGGAATATTACTCAGACATAAAACGAAATATGACTTAAAACATGAGTAAACCTTGTAAACATGCTGAGGAAATTAAACCATGTACAGTAGGCTTCTTACAGATGATTCATACTAAATTTTCCATTTGTATGAAATGTCCATAATAGTTTAGAAAGTGGATTAATGATTGCCAGTGCTGAAGGATGAGAGAATGTGATAATTATTAGGGGTGAGAGTTGAAAATTTTCTGCAATTAGATAGTGATAATTTATGCACAAACTTGTGAATGTGTAAAAATGACTGAATTTTAAGTGCACTCTATGATATGTGAACTTTATCTCAAAGGTAATTTTAATGATGTATAATATATATAGTGATGTATACACTTAAGTAGGGACATGTTATTACTAGATTTGTCTTTTATGGATAATTTTAATTTCTCTTACAGCAACAAAATGGTTCAACAAGTGCCAGAAAACATCAATTTTCCTGCTGAAGAAGAAAAGATATTGCAGTTCTGGTCTGAATTTAATTGTTTTCAGGAATGCTTAAAGCAATCAAAACATAGACCAAAGTATGTGAATTTTTTTGTTTTGGAAAAGTAGAGTCCTTAAGAGTAGTTATTTCTTAGACTAAATTCCATTAAAGCAGAAACCACCTACTCATCTTTGTATCCTAGCTTTCTACGTAATGGATCCTCCATAGTAGATAAATGTTGAGTGAATAAGTTCTTTTTTCTGAGACTAGATTCAGGTTTTTTTCTTTTCTATTTTTTTTTCTTTTTATTGAGTTTATTGGTACTTTTTAGGTATACAGTACAGTTACATTCATCATTGGGATCTTTTTTTTTTTTTTTGATACCGGGAATTAAACTCAGGCCCTCGTGCTTGTGAGGCAGGTGCTGGAACCACTGAGCTAAATCCCCGACCCTATCATTGGGATCTTGTACCTTTGCTTGACAGACCTTGGTTGTCATTTTTTCCCCTTGTCCCTGCCCTCCCTTCACCCTGACTAGATTGAGTTTTAAGAGGTCATCTGACTAGAGAGCATATACCACCCTCTTCCTTTCTACCTTTCTTGTCATTCCGACCTTCAGTTAGCACTTATATGTAAGTACGAAAGGCTACTACAATACTTCCTGCCCCTAGTCTTTCTTCACCTAAAAGACCACGGTTTCTATTATGGTCTTCTATGTGTAAAAATTTTGTCTATTGCCTTGTTTTACCAAAGATCAGGATTAATAATTTGCCTTATAGGAAATTTGTCATGGGAATGATAAATGAAAAATTGATAAATCAAATGGCAGTCTCTGCAGCTGTGTCATAACTGGTGGTAGTAGCCTTTCTGAAGGCAGGACCTTCAAAAATACCTCATCAGTCAATGTCTGAATGCCCTGATTTTGGTACTTTTTTCTTCTCCCTAAATACTGTGATAGGAGCTAACCATAGAAAAATGTTCTAATTTTTTTCTGTTGTAAAATGACTTTAACATGCTTTCATTACCTCTATTAGATTTACCTTCTACGATGGCCCTCCTTTTGCAACTGGACTGCCTCACTATGGGCATATACTTGCGGGCACCATTAAAGACGTAGTCACAAGATATGCTCACCAGAGTGGGTTTCATGTTGACAGAAGATTTGGATGGGATTGTCATGGTTTACCTGTGGTATGTTTGAGTCTCTTGCCTTATAATGTTCTGATTTTTTATAAGCTTTATGTTCTATTATTATATGTTAAAGATGATTAACTTTTATTATGTATTACATTTTATTCTACTTCATTTCCATAATAATATAGTTCATTTTCTTTGTAGGTATTCTGAAAGCTAATTTTTTTAGAAAGCTGTTTTATTTTTTAGATTTAGTTGTGTTTGTTTCATAAGGTGGGTGTGTTAACAATTTTGCAACAAAATTTCAGGAATATGAAATTGACAAGACACTGGGAATCAGAGGGCCAGAGGACGTGGCCAAAATGGGGATTGCAGAGTATAACAATCAGTGCCGTTCAATTGTGATGAGATACTCTTCTGAATGGAAGGTATGGTCCATTCTTTTCAGTAAAATGAAAAGGAAGTTTAGTTTTTAAATGGGTATTGAGATGGTTTATGGTCCTTTTAGCATTTTATGAGATGTTCCTGGAAATAGGGCTGTCTCTGTGAGGTTGTGACGCCAGATGAGTTTACCCTCCTCTTTGCACTGTGTATACCTTAGAAAGATTCCTTAGCTTTCACCTGCAAACCCATCAGATTAAACTGAACCCTCTCGTTGCTGACTTCTGAGTGATTGGTTCACTTTCCATTATTTAAACTGCCTACCCACAGTATATGACAGGAGACAGTGTTGTAGCGATCAGATTTATTTATATGTTCCAGTGCAGTAATTTGGGTATTTTTTAAATTTCCAATTTGGAGCCATTCTTGTGATAGTAATTTGAGTCCCTTGTTAATACAGCAGTGTGAAGGAGCTGCAGAACTCCTGCCCTCTTGTTTTTCTGATGTGGAAACAAAGCTTCCTTTCTCCTTGCCTCTCGGATGAGATTACCATGTCTGTATAACTTAAAAGCATATCTGGCTTTTTTTACCCCGTATTCTCCATCTTCCCTTAACCTCAAAACTTGTTCAGAATTCCCTGTTCTGCCAGTTGTGTCATTTCTTCCAACTTTTAAACATTAATTCCCATGATCACTTCAGTCATATACTTAATGTATAATCATTCCTCTTGTTGTTTTGAGACAAGGTCTCACTATGCACTTCAGGCTGACCTTAAACTCAGTAGGTAGCCCCAGCTGGCCTCGAACTCACAGCGATCCTCCTACCTCAGCCTCCTGAGTGCTGGAATTAAAGGTGTGCACCACCACACCTAGCACTATACCGTCATTCTTACAGCCTCTCCTTAACTTCCACCCACTGTCTTTTCTATAGCAGTCTGCTAATCACTTTCCTTTTCATGATCTTTCCACACAGGCTCGAGTAATCTGTCTCCTACAGTTTTGTTTTCATTGTGCTTTTCCTCTGCTTAAAACCCCAGGTAGCTTCTCTTCGCTGATGTATAAAGTCTGATTTCTTCAAAATGAAAATCAGAACTCCTCAATTTTATCTCAGCCTGACTTTCTTACCTGACCAGTAAGGGAAAATGCCTTATTTTCCCTTACTGAGTAGGGCATGGTTACAGACCCTTTCTTTCCTTTAGTTGTTTTTTGTTTCTTTCTTTCTTTCTTAAATTTAAAACGCTTTTTAAAATTTTTATTTTGAAATAATTTCAGACATATTAAAAACTTGCAGATATGGTATGAAGAGCTCTTCACCAATTGCTAACATCTTCAATAATGGTAATACAATTTCAAAAGCAATAGATTAATGTCAGTTAAATATTGCAGCTTTTATTTAATATCACTCATTCTTTCATTAATTTTTATTTTTGATCCAAGATCCACTCCGGGATCACACATTGCCTTTAGATATTGTCTTCTTAGTCTCCTTCAATATGGAACGTTCATTCAGCCCTTCTTTGTCTATCATGATCTTGTCACTTTTTTTTTTTTAAAGTGCAAACCAATTATTTGATAGCATGTCCCTCAATGTTTAATGTTTTCTTATAATTCAAGTAATGCATCTTGGTAAGAATACCTCAGAAGTCTCATCGATAACTTTGTTCACTAATTAAGTTGTTTTCTGTGTCAGGTTTCTCCTTTATAAAGTTGCAGTTTTTACTTTTAGCTAGTAAGTACCTGGTAGAAAAATTCTTTGCAAATATTCTTTTTCTTAATGATACTTCCACTCGTTAATTTTACCATCCATATACTCTTGTTAATAACAATTATACCTGTGTTGCCAAATGGTCCTTTTTATATAAATGAATATTAATGAATAGACCCTTGATTTACAACCGGGCTGACCTATGAACAACTTGGATTATGATCAGAATTTTAGTTTTAAGTTATAATCTTAAGTTGTTGCCCAAATGCTGAACTGCTTATGCTTCCAGATGGTCTTAGATACAGATCTAACCCTTAAAGAGTTCCAAAAGGAGAATTACAACATCCTTTCCTGTACAGGGTTAATTGAGAAATCCTGGGCCATGTCTAAGGTCACTGAGATCTGCCTATAGACAGGAGAGAGTCTTTGAGGGCTGTGTAGAGAAGCCTGAGCCTTTGATTGACAACTTGAATTACAACCAGCCCTCAGGAACAAATTGAGTTTGTAAGTCAAGGGTCTACTACTTATAACTTCTTTGTATAATGCCAAAAAACCTGGATCTTAACTTTACATAGTATTTTCTTTGAAATGCTGATTTACTTTAACCCTTGGTAGTTCTGATTTCCTAAAATTTTACATGATGACGGTGCGAGTAAACAACACACATTGGTGTATAAGAACAAATAACATTGCCTAATGCTACTCTAATATTCATACTTTTAAAGTCTATTATTACCAGACTTGGCCGATGGATTGACTTTGACAACGACTACAAAACTCTATATCCACAATTCATGGAATCTGTCTGGTAGGTTTCTTTTAAATTGCAAATATGATGGATATGCTGCTGTATTTGTCAATGAAGAGGTGTGTTAGCATGAATTAGTTTGTTTTTGAGATCCAGCTGTCAGGAGCAGGTGTGTTTTGGATTTGATAAATATACTATCATATCCATATATTTTGTTTGTTTGTTTATTTTGCTTTTTGTTTTTGGTACCGGGGATTGAGCTTGGGTCCTTGTGCTTGCCAGGCAGTTAGCAGAACCACTGAGCTAAATCCCTGGCCCGTATCCATATATTCTTTAGGATATAAATAAACTCAGTAGGTTGAACACCAACATATAATCAAATACATTAGCATTTCTGCCTCATTAAGTAGAATAAAGAATATGAATGGATAAAGCTATTTTGCCAAATTTAGGAAAAATTAGGTTTTTTTGTTTTGTTTTGTTTTGTTTTTTTGTTTTTGTTTTTTTTGAGACAAGGTCTCACTATGTAGTTGAGACTGACCTGGAACTCACTATGTAGCCCAGCCTGGTCTCGAACTCACAGCGATCCTCCTGCCTCGGCCTCCCGAGTGCTGGGATTACAGGCATGAGCCACCATGCCTGGCAGTAGGAAAAATTAGTTTTTAGAAGTAGTTTTCCTTATTTTTTTTTTTTAAGGAATTAACCCTGAAAAACTATATTTGAATTTAATGCTGAGTAATCCTTTATAGTGAAGTCACTATCCCATAAAGTTCCAAATTAAATTAAATTTATTTCTTTTTATTATCATAAGACAGTGGAAATAATGCCAGCCTGGGTTTTTTTTTTTTTTTTTTTTTTTTTTTTTTGTCGGGGGATCAAACTCAAACTGCTTGCAAGGCAGGCGGCAGAACCACTGAGCTAAATCTCTGGCCCTATAATGCCAATCTTGATAGCTGCTTTAACTTGGACCTTCTAGTAGTCTGGTAATCATTACTGATCATGCAAGTATCAATATTATGGTTGCTGGGCCAGTGATTTAGCTCAGTGGTGCCTCCTCCTGCCTTGCAAGTACAAGGTCCTGAGTTCTATCCCCAGTACCAAAGAAAAATCACCCAGAAAGTACCAATATTATGTTGGCAAAATGCCCCTATATATAACTTAGCCTGGAGGAAATCCTGTTTTTATTAAATTATGTATAAAAGTATAGGTGAGTTACAAAGCTATTTTGTAAGGTGCTGTTTCTTTGCCTGACTTTGTAAATATTTGTGGCTTTTACTGCCTTATCTACCTATTCCCATTTCTCGAGGATCTCGGTTCCTCGGGACAGTTTCTCAGACCCCCTTACTGATATCCCCTTGTGGCCATACCCCGAGGCCTGTGTACCCAGGAGTGGAGAGCCAGTGAGGCTATCTCACAACAGATTTTGGAGAGGCTGTTCCTAGTTCACTGAAGAGCTGGAGTTGCCATGACTAGAGAGAGCATCTGAAGACCAGGTTTTGTGTTAAGCATGTCAAAAAAAAAGTTCTAGATCAGAGTTATTGAGCTCTTAAATGCCTTCTGCCTCAGCCTCCCAATGGCTGGAACTAAGGGCAAGTGCCACCACACCCAGATAAATGTTTAGGTCTTTAATTCAAGTTAAAAGTTACATGTTGCTAGCACCTACTGTGTTAGTCACTATAGTTATGCATGTTCCTTTTTTTTTTTTTGGTACTGGGGATTGAACTCGGGTCCTTGTTGCGAGGCAATTGGTGGAACCACTGAGCTAAATCCCCAGCCCTAGTCAGTGTAGTTGTAACTTCTATTTCTTAGTTTATATTAAATGCCTGTAATACCAGCACTTTGGAGGATCACTGCTAACCTGGGCTACATAGTTCAAGGCACCCTACATTTTATATATAGCAAGACTCTGTCTCAAAAAATAAAATAAAATGTGCTTATATCAGGAGGCAAATAGTTTTTAAAGCCTCATGGCATTAGAACATTTGTTATTTGTAAGGAGTATGTTGGCATATAAATAAGATACCTACACAGATGGTGATTTCAAAAATGATAGGAGATAGCTTTAAATATCGTAGCAATAGTAGAGGTGGGGCCTGGGGATTTAGCTTGGTGCCACCACCTGCCTTGCAAGTGCAAGGTCCTCAGTTCGATCCCCAGTACCAAAAAAAAGAAAAAAAAAAATAGTGGTGATGTTAGATTGAGTTGATACTTTGGAGGATATAAAGCATTTCCATATAAATTTTCCCAGAATCAGCCCAGGGACTTAGCTCACTGGTTCCGCTGCCTGCCTTGCAAGCATAAGGGCCGGAGTTCGATCCCTGTTACCGAAGAATAAAAAAAATTTTTTTTCCCAGAATCCTGCCCTTTGAGTTAGTTATCTTTTGAGGTCAAAGGAAGTGGTTGTGACTTGTCTGAGATTGCACAGCTCATTGTGTAGCTCTTTAAAACTGGCTGTTAGTATATCAGTTCTAGTATTCTCCCTCTACTCTATCATAAATGTCCTTGTATCAAAGGATATTTAAAATTTTTATTTCAACTTTGGAAATTTGTTTTGAAATATTTTTTCAGCTCTGTTAAAGGCTCAAGGATAACATGAAGAAACATACGTTTTCTTCATAAATTGTGATTTTCACAAATGGGAGAGAATTTAGTTTATTATGCCATACATACATGAATTAGAATATAAGGATAAAAAGTCTAAAGGCAAAATTAAATAAAAGTTTCTGTTAATTTACTAAGTTGTCAAAGCAGGGAGGAGTGATTGTTATCATTGATGTCTGCAGTATCCAGGAACACTTAGCTGCCTATGCTTCCGAGGAAAATCAGAGTGGTCAGGCAAGCTGACATGGAAGGAAAAACTAGAGGAGTTAAGAAGCTCTTCCTACAACCGCAAAAATAACCCCTGTAGAGCTTTAACTGATCTTGTCCTGTGTTACCAGCACGAGACAGACTTCTCCCCCAAGTGACCAAATACCCTCTTCTAGGTGAAACTTCTCTCTCCCCTTCCTTATGCCCAGTAAACTCCTTGGAACACCCTGAGATAACAAAAGTTAAATGCTCAGTTTTTATTAACTGTGGGAGATATTTGATCCTAATCCCAGTGGTTTGTAGTTTTAATTTGCTGGGGTTTTTTTTTGTTGTTTTCGTTCTTTTTGGTACTGGGGATTGAACTTGGGTCCTTGTGCTTGCAAGGCAGGCCACCAAACCACTGAGCTAAATCCCCAGCTCTTAATTTGCTGTTTTTAAACTGCCCATTATATTAAAATTTAAACAGTACACCAGAAAGCTATATAATGGAAAATCTCCATATGCCAACTTCATTAACATGTTCGTAAAAGTCTGTATTTTTCAACATCTCTGAAAACATGTAAGTATGTATGTTGACTTGTGCAGATTTCTATCATTGGTATGTCATTGTGCAGCATGGTCTATTGGATGCTTCACATTTTATTATGAACATCTTTCATGTGAATAGATAGCTTTTTTTTTTTGTCTGTATAATGTCTCATCATACTAATTTGTTGGAATTTACTGGGTAGTCTCCAAATTAGAAACCTTTTTTCACTTCTTCGGCAGACAAATTCTGAACAGAAAATGATGTAAATATCTGCCATTGAGAGTAATAGATTTTTGTTGTTATATAATTAAAACTCCATCTGTTAACTTGCCAGGTGGGTGTTCAAACAACTCTATGATAAAGGCCTTGTTTACAGAGGTGTGAAAGTCATGCCCTTCTCCACGGCTTGTAATACTCCACTTTCCAACTTTGAGGCACACCAAAATTACAAGGTATGTGAAATACTGGGTTATATCCCTCTTAGCACTGACATATGCGCATGGAGGGTGAGTGGTTGTGTTTTCCCGTGTGGCTTGTTAACCTGGGGCGTCTGTCACATGAAGAGCTGCGTTCCCAGCTCTTCTTTATTTTGAGACAGGGTCTCACTAAGTTTCAATGTATAAATCTGGTTTTGGTTGATTTGTGTTATAGAGTGATCTTCTCTAACCTGGAGCTATTTATTTTTAAATCTTTGATATTTTCATTTTAAGTTTGCTTTAGACTTAGAGCCAGTCATCTATTTAGTGAGCTAAAATGATGATTGGCTTATTATAATTTCAAATACATAGTGTTTCAGGATGATTCTTTTTAATATTGTAGGGGAAAACAACTGTTTTCCAAACATTATTTGTTCTTTTGAAAGTCCGCAGATATCTTAAAACACTATATTTGTGGATTCTGTGTATGTACACATGTGTATGTATTCAACGCTGGAGATTGAACCCAGCACCTTCACATCAAGCTGTATTCCCAGCCATTTTTTAATTTCATTTGCTGTTTCCCAAGCTTTCTTCAAACTTTTGATCTTGTTGCCTCAGGCCCCCAAGGTGCCAGGGAAATAGACATGTATGATTCCACTCAGCTATTTGTAACTCCTACATCATTTATTTAAATGTTGAAAAATTTGGTGTGGAATTTCTTGCTTTATTTTTTTTATAAATGTGACAAAATGTAAATGATTTTTTTTTTTTTTTTGGCAGTACCAGGAGATCAAACACAGAACACGTTGCCACTGAGCTAAAACACAGAACACGTTGCCACTGAGCTAAATCACTGGCCCTATAAATGATTTTTTAAAAACTTCATTTCATCCTAAAATTTATGCCACTGAATTTTTTTTTTTTTTTTTGGATGTTTATTATGGAGTTGTAAAACACTACCTCATTTTATTTCAGGATGTTCAAGATCCTTCAGTATTTGTAACTTTCCCTTTGGAAGAAGATGAAAATACATCTTTGGTTGCTTGGACAACCACTCCCTGGACTCTACCTAGTAATCTTGCTCTCTGTGTTAATCCAGATATGGTATATGTAAAGGTTAAAGGTAAGTCAGACTGATTACATGTCACCAAAATGAATAAGATAATTTTACTTGAGGGAAAACTGGTAAAAGCTCACACATCTTCCTTGAGTGAAACAAATCTTCCACAAGAATTTTACTTAATCAGAAAGATAAGCCCTACAAAGTTCTTTCATCAAAAATGACTTTAACAGTAACTTTAAAAGAAAAGAATTTAAAAGTAACACAAAAATCAAAATAGTACTGAGATGTTAAAAAAAAAAAAAAAGGTAAAATTTCATTATAATTTCCAGTTGGTAGTGTATTTTATTTTTATTTTTTTGGCACTGGATCGAACTCCGGCCCTTGCACTTGCGAGGCAGGCAGCGGAACCACTGTGTCAAACCCCCAGCATGTAGTGTATTTTAACACATCCTGCTCTTGTTACAGATGAAGAATCTCAGAGTCAGAGAAAGGGGTTTCTGTCATTATTGGCATTGATGCCAAAACATGAGAACTTTGTGCCTCTCAGATATTTCCTAGTAAAGTTATCATAGTCTCAACTAGGTCCTTCCATACAGATTTATACGATAAAAAAAAGGTTGGTACTTTGTGAACAAAGATACTTTCAGGTCTGGATTGTTTATCGTAATGGAAAAGGAAATAGAGAAGAGGAAAAATTATCTGCCAGAGAAAAATGCTGTGGTAGAGCTGCTATGGAAAACAGTATGACGTTTATTCAGAAAGTTGAACATAGAATTATGAACATCTACCAACTCTGCACAATGAATTTAGTCATGTACTATGAGCATATGATAATTAGACCCAGAATTTTTTTTAAAAGGAAAGAAATCGTGATTCATGCTACAACTAGTTGATAAGCCGGTCACCAAAGGACAGATATATAGGATTCCACTCATCTGAGATACCTAGAGTAGTCAAGGTCAGAGAGAAAAAAGTACAGTGGTGATTAGGGGAGGATATTTTGAGGGAACAGAGAGATATGTTTAATGGGTACAGTGTTTCAGTTTCTGATAATGGCAGTGTTTTGGCTAAAGATAATACTATACAACATTGTGAATATATTTAATGACACAAATGGTTAAAATTGATTTTTATAAAATGAAGAATAGTCAACTTGATTCATACTAGCTTGCGCTGTCAAGGAGAAAGTGTGAGAGGGAACTGGAGAGTAGTGGAAGGTCAGAAAAAGGATTTCTTTGAGTCTCCCTAGAAGCTGGAAAGACCAAGATTTGGTCTCCATGTTGGCTGTTGGGAAGAACTGTTGTCTGCACGGGAACCTGTGCTAGGTGTCTGATTGCTTCTCTGGGCCACATGTGATCCGATCTGTACAGTTTTCCTGTGTCCTGGGTCACTGGCCTTTTGTACTGAGCCTGGCAGCCAGAGGGCCATCTGACAAAGATTTCAAATACATCATGCCTCTGCCCACACACCATACTTGTTTTTTCAAACTGTGCATGGCATGTCTCTTTTGATGTTAGAGGTAAGGTGTAGCAGCATTATTTATAGCAACTTTTCATCGAATCATAAAAGCCTTTGTAATGATCTGTAGATTCCCTTTTCCCTTATCTTTCTTGCCTTTCCTTTATTTTTGGTGAAATCAACCCAGATCCTCACAAAGGCTAAGATTCTGCCCATGAGCTATATCCCAGGGCCCCCTTTTTCTTACTGTGAGCTGAGTACATGAGATAGGCTCAGGTAAATTGTAGTATGTTCATACTTTATAGGTTAGTGTTTACGTTGGGCTAGATTTTCATAGGGCAATTTTTTTAGTATCAATTTTTGATTCTTCATAAATTTGGTCTAGCTTTGGAATTCCTGGTATAGGATCCTCCAGAAATGCTCTTAATGAGGGTACACAGATTCATACATTATCTCACTGCATAATAATGAAAATTTAAAGTAATTTAAATGTGTATTAGTCAATTTGTTAGAAACAGTTTGTACCTCCATAAAATGGAGTTCAGTAAACTATTTTTTAAAATAATAAAATTTATATCTATATGGAAAGATGTTTACAGTATATTGTGGGAATACAAGATATAAAACTGTAGAGTATTCATAATTGTTTTAAAAGTAAAAAGAATTCCACATACTTAGATTAATTTGTTACATATGCGCAGAAAAGTATCTGAATAAATAGACTATATTTGAGGGGCTGGAATCAAAAGAGACTTACTTTGTGAGATATTTAGTTGACTAATACGGTGTTTGTTACTGGTGTAGTGGTGCTGGGCTCAAACCCAGGACTTCATGCATGACAGGCGAGCACTCTACAACGTAGCTGTACTCCCAGCCTCAGTGTTAAAATTTTTAAACATTGACAAAATTACCTCGAGGAGGAAAAAATAAAGATTAATTTCCTTAAAATAGATAAGGGTGCAACTGGTGTCTCAGCTGCCTACCTGCTGTGGATGTCTGTGTGTTACACTCATCTGGGAAGCAACGTAGTGTGCTCTGCCATGCTCCTGTGTGAGTGCTAGGCATACTACGTACTGCAGGTGATGCAGGAACTCCAGCAAAAAGTATCACTGAGATCCACTTTTTCCCTTGTTCTCATAGATATTGCCAGACGAAAATTACTCATTTTAATGGAAGCCAGATTATCAGCCCTCTATAAGTTGGAGAGTGACTATGAGATCCTTGAAAGGTGATTTTTCAAACAGCTAATATGTGTGTCTGTCTGTATGTCGTTAGTATAAAAAGAATCAAGGTTTATTCATTATTTTAAAGCTGTATAATTCAAGTTGAATTTTTAGTCCTGAGTCTGTTCAAATCACACATTCCTGCAATCATGATAGAGCAGTAAACTGAGGGCGTGGTGACTTGTTGTGGCTGCAGCCTCATTTCTCTGATTTTTTTACCATGATTATTGATTCTCCTTTCTCCTTTTTCCAGATTTCCTGGTGTCTATCTCAAAGGCAAGAAATACAAGCCCTTGTTCGACTATTTTCTGAAGGTAAGCCCAGGTACTGCTATGCAGAGGCTCCCCACATGCATTTCTTTGATACCTGGAAGAAAGTTCTAAGTGGAATTCTCATTGTCAGTAAGTCATGAAATGGTAGCCTGGATCCAAAAGTGTGCATTGATATTAACAAAATTGAATTATGTTGAGAATCATAGAGCTGTTTTACATGATTTTCATTTTCTGACACTGGAGAATACACAGCTATAGTCGCAAAACCTACCACTACCAAAGCAAAGTCACGCAGAAATTCTTCATTAGTTCTTAAATGTTTTGGAATAAGATAATGAGCAACACCCTTTGGCCTGGCTTTCTGTGCTATTTGGAAGTTATAATGAGTTGGACATAATCATAGGACAAAACATCTGCTGACCCTACTGTTGTTGCTGTTGAGTGTGGGGTGAGGTTGATTGATGCCGGTGAACTCTGTTGTTTGGGCCCTAGCCAGTGTATCTCTCGTCTCTATTCCCTTTCTTCACCCTGAGTGTTTTTCATAGTCTCTATCTCTCACTTAATGGCCTTTGTCCTCTTTCCTTGTTACTACCTAACATTTCTATGTACTCTGTCTTCATTCAGTCTCTTCCCCACAAGCCTTTAGTCTTCTGCCAGCATTTATGAGTAGCCTTTATCCTGCTTCCCAGCAGGCCTGATTCCTAATCACATTTCCAGAGTCACCCTTTCCTTTCCTGCTTCCCTGTATTTTTAAAGTTTTCTTCCCATTTTAAATATCCTTCCCCTTTTGTTGTATCTTCTGGGTACAAACCGTCTTTCAAGTCTGAACACAGATGCCATCTGAAAGACGTAGTCTCTGAAACATCTCTTTGGCTTCTTCACTGCATTCTTTTGTATGTCTTAACATTTTCTTGTCTAAAACCTCTTCCCCCGGACAGTGGCTGTTTACTTTCTAAATGACAGCCTATTAAGAACCAAGGCAATCTGCCACCTGCCTCACAAATGGAAGGTCTGGAGTTCGATCCCCAGTACCAAAAAAAAAAAAGTACAAGGCAAGCTTGGCCCTCAAAAAGGACACATGAACATATTAGAGAGGGACTTCTGCTTAAGTCAGAGGTCTTTCTGCAGTACACACTCCAAACTTACTCAGATTGGACAATGCTGGCCCATAAAATAAATGTCTTAGACTTCCACTGAAACTTTAGGTGGACCTTTCCTGTTTCTTAACTGGGGACATAATCACCTGATGTACCCCTGAAATACACAAGTTCTAAAATGTTAAGTGAAGCTGTGATGTAGATGTTGCTGGTGGGGCAGTGCTGTGGCTCTTAGTGTTTGCTGACCTGGCTGAGGAGATGGTGTGGCCTGGGTGTGAGCTTTCTTCTATTGTTCTTAGACCCCATGGGAATCACTGTGTGTGCATCTGACTAAGAACCCATATTCCTACTCCAGGTTTAAACTACCATCTCACATCTTCCAAAGTGCTTCAGGGTGATTGAACTTGTAGTAGTTGAAAACTCACAGTTATTTTTAAGTTTAATTGTAAGTTCTAAAGAAGCAGAGTGCTGTGATGCAGTTGGAAATAGTGTTGTTATTCAGAACTGGAAAACCTTGCTACAGATCCAGCTACACTGCTGTGGAGGGCAAGTCATTTATCTTTATTCTGAATTTGCTCATTTCTAATATTTTAAAAGCCAGAATATTTCTAAAGTGTGAGGAAAAATAAGACCTTTTTCATAGGACTATTGGGGTGAAATATGAAAGCACTTTGTATCAGTGCTGAGAGGTAGGACAGCACAAGGCCAGTGTGGCTGAAACCAAGGATGTGTGCAAAGAACTATGAAGAGATGAGAATAGGTCTTGCATTCTCTGTGTTAACCTGATGATATGACTGCTGCAAAGAAAACTGGATTAAACACTTTTCCCGCTGAGCCTTAGAATTTGCAGCTCTTTGGTTTCCCACTTGTTCCTGTGGAGGTTTTCCTTTAATGACTGAGTAGCTTCAGCCAGGTTTAAGGGAAAAGGAAAGTACCTGCAGTAGATGAAAATAAACCAAGAAGTGAATGATTCATGGTGAGTGATCATGCTTTCTGAGGCTAGATGCCAGATTCATGCTGGGGCAAGGGTAGGCTTGGAAGAGCTAGTGAGAAAGTTAGGTAGCCAAAAGAAGTTAGAAATTTTCATGTGTAAGTCTTTTTTTTTTTTTTTTTTTTTTTTT